CCGCCATAGCTGGCTGATCCCAGCTTAGTTCCACCGCAGACAGACAGACCTCTCCTGAATTGAGGAGACCCGGCCAGAAGATGTCAGGGTCTTAGAATCCTGACTGCCACACGTGGTAGCCCCCGGCATAAGTGAGGCCCCTCCTGAACACGATTTCAGAGAGAGAGAGACGGAGAGTGTGTGAGAGACACACAGTGTGTGTAGAGAGACTGTGTGTGTGTGTGAGAGACAAAGTGTGTGAGAGTGTGTGTATGTGAGAGAGAGAGACAGAGTGTGTGTGAGAGAGACAGCGTGAGAGAGAGACTGTGTGTGAGAGAGACAGTGTGTGTGAAAGAGACTGTGTGTGAGAGAGACAAAGTGTGTGTGTGAAAGAGTGTGTATGTGAGAGAGACAGAGTGTGTGTGTGTGTGTGTGTGTGTGTGTGTGTGTGTGTGAGACTTGTGTGTGGGGGAGAGACAGTGTGTGTGTCTGGGAGAGTGTGTGTGAGAGAGAGAGACAGTGTGTGTGTGTGTGTTCACACTGCCTGTGCAGCCATTTGCTGAGAGATGTTCAAGCTGCCAGATAATTTCATTTTGTCTTCGTATTACTAAGACTTGTAGCGATAGGTAAGTGAATAGAATTTAAGGCCTTAGGGGAAAGAGAGGACTAACAGTGTTGGAGAGCTAGGTGATAATCTGGGCATACTACATGGATGTCAGAATTTGATGTAAGTAGGTGAGTTGTGGAAAATGATATTGGCGATTGATTGCCTTTGCATCGGGGGTGGAGTGCCATAGTTTGCAATTTAGGTCTGACTCCCTCATTTAGATGGAGAAAATGGCACATTAAAAGCATTTGTCACACTCAGACCAGTGCTTTCCCTGGGATACATTATATGAATCGTTACTGAGAGGACTGAAGTGAAGACAGCCCCTCTAAGTCCCCAAAAGAATTTGAAATTAAGAGCAGGCGCAAATTGGCTGGGATTGTGGTGTAATGGTAAACTGATTTCTTGGGTTCAGTCCCAGGTTAAGGGTGGGAGGGAAAAATAGTTCTTCAGTAGGTAGGTGGTTCTAAACAGTTTGTCAAGTAGGAAGTGTTAGTTGTCCCATTGTTTTACATGTAGGAAAAATTACTGGGGCCTTTGTACTAAGGGGGGGAAACTAAGGCTATTTGGACTCCAGATTTGTGTGCTCAATAAATGGTTGTGTGACCCTGGCACTTTATGAGAAGCATGATGAGCAGGGATACCCTGTGTTTGGAAGTTCCTGCCTCATGACCCTACTTAAGCAGATGTTTTCTTTTGCAGCATTTTTCAGGATTAGAAGAGGCTGTGTATAGAAATATACAAGCTTGCAAGGAGCTTTCTCAGACTACCCGTACAGCATATGGACCAAATGGTAATGGCCAATTTCACATCTTGAAGGACGTGTTAGCTTCTGTCTCATGCTGAATGCTAAATGTACAGGGAAGTTCTTGCAGGTTGTTTCATAGTTGACGGCACTGGTGGGCTCCTAGCTTTCAATCAGAAATTCAGCTTTCTAGGAAAATTAAATGACACTGTTATCCTAGTAGGTGATAGGAAAATTACAGCCCTTCAGTATTGATATAGCTCTTCATGATGGAAAGGGCTGAGCTGTTTTAAAAGTTGACATAGTTTAAGGAACCGCTTTCCTTTAACCATTTGAATTAAAGATACAGACTAGAGGATTAAACATGAGGCCAAATGTGTTTATGTGTGAATTCCAATTTATCAGTGCTTTCTGTATTCAGTGCATTGGGGTGTTTAGTCAGGAAAACCATGGGCTGTGTGGTGGGACTGAAAATACAGATCATATGTGCAAAGGGTTAAAAAGAGTCAGTGCAGCTTCTTCACCATGTTTTCTCTGTCTTGTTCGGGAGAATATTTGAATAATAATGGATTTTTTTTTCTTTGCAACTTTTTTTTTAAAGGAATGAATAAAATGGTCATCAATCGCCTGGAGAAGTTGTTTGTGACAAATGACGCAGCAACTATTTTAAGAGAGCTGGAAGTAAGTTTTTTCCAAAACCATCAAAAAAATTCTAACATAGACAAAGCACTACTTCACTTAGTTTATAAAGAACTGCTTCTTCCTCAAGCTTATTGTGAAGACTTATAAGTGACCAAAACAGTTTACTGTTGTGACTACTCAAAAAAACTAATTTAATTGTTTATGGAGGAACATAAAAAGCTTGCAAGAAAGCTCCTTGCAAGCTTGTATATTTCTATACACAGCCTCCTAATTTAATTGTTTATGGAGGGGGTGTGGAGTATTGCTGTGACTAGCAGATTCATTATTCTGGAGATTGATGCTAATACATATTTTTCTGATGATATAAAAGTATCTGGTAACTATTGCTGCTTTGTTTCTAAAGAACCAGTTGGAAATTGCTTTCTTTTGCTGCAGTTTTGGTGTCGAGTCTGTAGAGCAGATTTTTAAAGAGGACACACAGTTTTGATGCTTTTGTAAAATTTACTTTCAGACTTGGGATGCATTTTAGTTTGTAGGGTGCCTGCCTGGGATTTGATTCCCAATGCTATATAGCCTGAGTGTGGTTGCACACACCTGTAACCCTAGGACTCGGGATCTGGAGGCAAAAGGATCAGAAGTTCAAAGTCCGCCTTTAATCCTAGCATTCAGAAGAGACAGATGGCTCTCTGGAGTTGGAGGCCAGCCTGGTCTACAAAGCAAGTGCCAGGACTCCACAGAGAAACCCTGTCTCAAAAAAACAAAACAACAAAAGGGCAAAGTCATCCTTAGCTATACAATGAGCTGCATGTACCCTGTCTCTCAAAAAAATCACAGGAAGTTTTATGTTCCTTTTGATTTTTAAACAAGAGCATGTTTATGAATATGTGATGCTGGGACTCTTAAGTTGAGTGATGACTGTTTTAGTTCTTCCAAAGACTTGTTGGTTTTTGGACAAGGTCTCTCTGGGTAGCCCTGGCTATCCTGAACTGGCTTTGTAGACCTAAGTGACCTCAAACTCAGAGATCTGCCTGCCTCTGCCTCTCGAATGCTGGATTCAAGGCATGGACCACCATGCCCAGCCAAGAATCTTTATTTAAACATTAAAAAGTCAATACACAGAGAATGGCAGGACACAATCAGTCATAAGGTGGAGGAGGGATGGGAGTCAGATGATGCTAAAGTTGAAAAGTGTGTGCCATCATGCCCAGTTTCTCTTCTAGAGACTCTTTAAAATTGCTAACTTTACTATGTGCAATTGCCGGGATTTTACTGTGTCTACCTGATTTGGAGTTAAGATAGTAAACAGCTGTTCATGTGACCCAACTGTGTTCATCAATGAAAAGGCATTTTCTCTGACTCATACCCTAGCTAATAAGCAATAAGCTGCTCCTTTTGCCTGGAATGCTTTTTCCTCCCCATTGGATCTTAGCCCCCTACAGCTTAAATGTCAGGTCTACCTGTCCCTTCTTGATAAATTCTTTCTGATTTAAGATGTTCATTTTCCCTCTATCAGCTGCCTGTCTTCAATTTATAGAATTTGTTCAGCATTCCACCGGGAATTTTAGTATCATTTACAGATGTAGCTCTTACCTAACCAACATGATATTGTACTTGTTAGCATAATGAAGAGCCATGTCTGCCACTTTGCCCCCGGTTACTATGACATTTGCACCCGTGCTGGCAATAGCTTTCACTTGTGCGTCCATGAGACTCTCCTCTCCCTTACTGAAGTTCATCAGCTCTTCAGCAGTCTTTATCAGCACCGTCCCCTGGAAAACATTCAAGCTCTCTCGAAAACAGTTTCACATTTTTGGTGTTCAAATTTGTAAGATAATGTTTTACCCAATAATTTAAAGACCTGAGAGAAAACCTGAAAAATACATGCTTTATCATAAAGCAAAATATGTAACATGCATGAAATTTAGATCTTTAGCTTGTTCCTATATTCCTTATCCTCAAAACAAATGCATTTGCAATGTGACAGGCACACTGATGAAAAGTTAAAGAAACATGGCTCCCTTAGATCTTTTTTCAAAGACAGATTAATATCACCAAAACAATTTATCCTCGAAACACAGACTACACAACCATTCTCCCCTCAGTCCTGCAAAATCAACAATTTGAATCTGCCAAGAATGTTTGGCATAAATACAAAACGTAGTTTTAAAGATTAATTTATTGGGCTGGAGACATGGTTCAGAGGTTAAGAGCACCGGCTGCTCTTCCAGAGGTCCAAGTTCCCAGCAACCAACCACGTGGTGGCTCACAACCATACGTTATGAGATCTGGTGCCCTCTTCTGGTGTGCAGATATACATGTAAGCAGAATGTTGTATACATAATAAATAAAATCTTTAAGAAAAAACTTAATTTATCTTTCATACTGATTAGCATTTAAAAGAATGTCAACACTCATAAAAAGTAATTTTATTCATTCACCAAGAGCATACAAGATGCCCATTAATGCTGCTTGAATATGAAGAGCTGTATATGAGACAAATAATGCCACCACACAAGGATTTTAGTTTAGTATTTGGTAGCTGAAGCAAATATTCATGCTCTGAAAAAAACAATTCTACAATTCTCAATTTACTATGAAATACACACTGTCTTAAGAGCTAATTCCACTTTAACCCATATGTACGTTTCAATCACATACCTTAGTCTCTGTTATCATGCCATCAAAGGGACAGGAGTACACTGCTATTTTTGCATCTTTGACAGATGTTACATCACCTTCGGTTTCCTTCTTAAAAACCATGCCATGCAATACTGAAGATGAATAGATACCAGAGCCCTAAGGAGTCAAACACCGCAACTGTCACTGGAGTTAAGTTTTACCCTTAGGTTAACAGGATCAGATGGTGGGCATAAACAATCCATTTTTCTCAAGGTTGAAAGCACTGTAGATTAAGCTACCATTATGGAGGGAAGACATTTCAGCCTATTGGGAAAACCAAGGTAGACAGCAACCAAGCCATTTATTTGCCTAATTACCAAGCACGTGGCACTAATGTACTACAGACAGAATAGAAAAACAAGACTTCATCAAAGGAATCCTCCTCTCTCCAGCCCCATTCTATTACAGTATTCGAACCTAAGAGACAAGGGGAAATGACGGCTTCACAAGAAAATACACTCTAATAGGTAGCAACATGATAATTTATTAACACCAAATGTTATAAAATGATGCCTTAAAACAGCAGTTCTCAACCCATGGGTTACAACCTCTTCGAGAGTTGCCTATTGGATACGCTACATACCAGATATTTACAATTACTAACAGTAGCAAAATTACAGTTATCAAATAGCAATGAAATAATTTTCTGGTGGGGGTCACAACATGAGGAACTGTATTAAAGGGTCATGGCATTGAAGGTTGAGAACCACTGCCTTAAAAAGAGAGTTATGTAAGTACTAAGTCTAAAATGGTTAAAAAAAAAAAAAAAGGGGGGGGGTCATAAAGATGGCTCAATGGTTAAGAGCACTGGTTGCTCTTCCAGAGGACCTGGATTTGATTCCTGCACCCACATAGCTCAAAACCCCCTGTAGCTCCAGTCCCAGAGGGATCTGACGCCATCTTCTGGCCTCCACGGGAACTACATGCACGTGTACAGACATAAATGGCTGGACTGGAAATGTAGCTCCATGGTAGCGTGCTTCCCCAGCATGCTCAGAGCTCTGGGTTCAATCCCCAGTACTGCAAAAACAACACTCCCCTCTAAGACCTATCTGGATAATGGGAATGCATTTTTAAACTTACCAGAATCTTACATACTCTGATGTTATCAACATTGAAATTTCCCGAATCAGGAAAAATAGATACTGTCAAGAAAATGAAATGTATTTTTAGACAACGAAAGATATCTGACACAATGAAAAATAATGTATTTTGGATTTTCTTGTTATTGGTATAACTCACCACATGCCTGAGCAATGAGCTTGGCCAGAAAGGCTTCATTACCATACTGCTTACTCATTACAGAGGTTCTAATCAGAGATGACACTTCATCAACATCTCGAAGGTTTTTTGCAGAACAACATACCAAATCGGGAAGAATCTCATGAGCTTTTTTGCAAGCTATTTCATATCCTGATATTACCTATACCGTGAAGAAAAAAATACTTCAATACACATAATTTACTCTGGTAACCCAATAAATACGAGCATCTTCAACATAAAATGACAACAAGTGTTTGTGGAAGACACGGTAGACCCAATAGCTATGAATTATGAAGACAACACAAATTTCAATACTGATTCTACCACTTATGAGTTATAGGACCTTGAGCAAGATTTTTGTCTCAAACCTGTCTTCATATGAAATGGAGTGAATTTAACAAGGCTTAGCAATGGGAATCTTGAGGACAAAACTGCACCACATGTGAGGCCTACGGCCAATGCCTAGCACAATGTAAGCTCCTCACTGTTAGCTATTACGAGTGGATTTAAAGTTTATCTTAAAATGACTCATTTGTAAATGGTGAGTGCACACACACGGGAAGAGTGTGATGCAAGTGTACAGTGAATGCCTATATAAATATCCATGTGTATACATGCACAGTGCCCGGAAGGAGATTTAAGGTGTCCTGCTCTATCAGCCCTGACACACTCCTTTCAGACAGACTCTCAATGTGAAGCTAAGCTGCCAATCAGAGAGCTCCAGTGAGGCCCCTGTTATCCCTCCTCCCACAATGCTGGATCACAGGCATCCCTGAGAACACACGGGTTCTAGGGATGTGGACTCAGGTCCTTGTGCTTGTCCTTGAGTGCTTTTACCCACTGCATTATCTACCTAGTCTCAAACCGTAAACTTCAAGTAGCAACACACACATTAACTGTAACTAAAGTACAAAAGGAGCACTTGCCTCTGAAACTGACAGGCCGATTCTCAGAAGTTCCTCAGCGAGCTCCAAAAGAGCTCCAGCAAACACCAGAACAAAGTTTGTGCCATCGCCAACCTCTTGTTCTTGCATATGAGAGGCCATCACGATCATTTTTGCAGCAGGATGTTGTACCTGATAGGTAGGGGTTAACAAATGAAAACATTCTTACTTACAGCAACATAAAGTTATTCATTTCCATTTCTTAATAGACTAGCTTCCGAGAGCAGGCAAATCCTACCTTATCAATTATACAGTTGCCTATCAACACAAATAAAAACAAGCCTAGCACATTTAGAGCTAACTTAGAAAATAAAGTATTTCTAACCATTAAAGTTAGCAATTTTAAAGAGTCTCTAGAAGAGAAACTGGGCATGATGGCACACACTTTTCAACTTTAGCATCATCTGACTCCCATCCCTCCTCCACCTTATGACTGATTGTGTCCTGCCATTCTCTGTGTATTGACTTTTTAATGTTTAAATAAAGATTCTTGGCTGGGCATGGTGGTCCATGCCTTGAATCCAGCATTCGAGAGGCAGAGGCAGGCAGATCTCTGAGTTTGAGGTCACTTAAGTCTACAAAGTCATCCTTAGCTATAGGATGAGCTGCATGTACCCTGTCTCAAAAAGATAACAGGAAGTTTTATGTTCTTTTTGATTTTTAACCAAGAGCATGTTTATGAATATGTGATGCTGGGACTCTTAAGTTGAGTGATGACTGTTTTAGTTCTTCCAAAGACTTGTTGGTTTTTGGACAAGGTCTCTCTGGGTAGCCCTGGCTATCCTGAACTGGCTTTGTAGACTAATTTCTAAGATGATGTTGTAATGTTTACTTACCTGAGACAGGTTCTTACTATGTAGCCCTGACTAGCCTGGAACACTGTGTAGGCTCTGTTCCACCTGCCTCTTCTCCCAAGTGCTAAGATTAAAGGTGTGCATTGTTACACTGGCCCCAGCTTTTAGTTTGTTACATTCACAAAGTCGGTAATCATCCTCTTGGCTTCCTAACTCAATGCAATGCTGATGTGTTCAGTTACAATCAAGTAAAGGAATATTTTCTTACTGGTGTTTTTGTTTTGAGACAGCCCTAGCTGACCTTGAAGTCAGATCTGCCTGCCTCTTAAAGGTGTGCTCTTTTATTCTCTCTGTTTTATGTTAATATGATTGAATTAAAATTTCTACTAATTTTTTTTCCTTTTGAAGGCTGAACTCAAAGTGGGATCTCAGAAGACTCTGTAAAACTGTTGGTGCCACAGCTCTTCCTAGATTGGTAAGTATTTTGGAAAACAAAAGATAAGTGAACACATTTTAATTTTTTACTAAATGGATCATTTTCTTGTAGACTCCTCCTGTCCTTGAAGAAATGGGACATTGTGATAGTGTTTACCTCTCAGAAGTTGGAGACACACAGGTGGTTGTTTTTAAGCATGGTATGTACTAATAATGGTAAGGTATCTTTTGTACAATGGTGAGGTGTGTTTTATTTAATCTACAAATTATTATTGACAGAAAAAGAAGATGGTGCCATTTCTACTATAGTTCTTCGAGGTTCTACAGATAATCTGATGGATGATATAGAAAGGGCGGTCGATGATGGAGTTAACACTTTCAAAGTTCTCACAAGGGTCAGTATTTGCTGTGATTTCTTAAAAACACAGTTGGCTGGCTAGGTGGTGGTGCATGCCTTTAATCCCAGCACTCAGGAGGCAGAGGCAGGCGAAGTTAGAGACCAGCCTGATCTACAAGAGCTAGTTCAGGATAGGCTCCCAAGCCACAGAGAAACCCTGTCTGGGAAACAAAACAAAACCCCACATTTGGCAGACTCAAACATGAGAACATCAAGATATGTAGTTTAATGAATATATCACCTTAAAAAACTAATCATAAAAACTAGAAAGTAGCAGACAAAGCTATTCCTGAGTATGGACTGCCTCCCACTGCTGAAGTACTATTGGTGCTGTATTATGGGCTCCTAGTCTTGAAAGTTTGACATAGTCACTTGATTAGTGGTGGACTATAAACTGTAGTGTGAAGAAATACTCCATTTTGGTGACTTTTTTATAGGATAAGCGTCTTGTCCCTGGAGGTGGAGCAACAGAAATTGAATTGGCCAAACAGATCACATCATATGGAGAGACGTGTCCTGGACTTGAACAGTATGCTATTAAGAAGTTTGCTGAGGCATTTGAAGCTATTCCACGGGCACTGGCAGAGAATTCTGGTGTGAAGGCCAATGAAGTTATCTCTAAACTTTATGCAGTGCACCAAGAAGGAAACAAAAATGTGGGGTTGGATATTGAGGTATTTATTTGTTAAAATTTTTAATTTTTTTGTGAATATACAATCTAAACATAGTAGTGTGTGTAAAGGGGGAATTATAAATTAGCTGTCTTGATTTTACAAATTTTAATTGATTTTAAATTTATCTGATGGGAAATTTTAGTTTTATGGACAACTTTGCCATGGAGCCTTGTAAGTTTTTCATGTTGTATATAAACATTTTCATGTGTAAGGAATTAACATAGCTTTGTGTTGGCAGGCTGAAGTTCCGGCTGTAAAGGACATGTTAGAAGCCAGTATCTTAGATACATACTTGGGAAAATACTGGGCTATTAAATTAGCCACTAATGCTGCAGTCACTGTACTTAGAGTGGATCAGGTGAGTGAAAAGTGAAAATTGAATCCTGAAAAAGTGGTGTTACACTCCTTAATCCCAGTACTTGAAGGCAAAGGCAGACAGGTCTCAGAGTTGCAACCCAGCCTGCTCTACAGAGCAGTAGGTTTTCAGGTTAGGAAGATGGCTCAGATGGGAAATCTTGCCCTGCACCCATGAGGATCTGTATAACTCACTGCTTGGCCTGGAACGGTCAAAAACAGGCAAATCCCAGAGACTGACTCAGCACTGGCTAGACAGGACAGTACAGCTAAAACTTTGGTCAAGCTCAACAAAAGAGGCAGCTTTCATAGTAGATATAATTCTTTGGTTTTGGTTTTTTGAGACAGGGTTTCTCTATGTAGCTTTGGAGCCTACACTGGCACTCACTCTGGAGACCAGGTGGCCTCGAACTCACAGAGATCCGCCTGCCTCTGCCTCCCGAGTGCTCGAATTAAAGGTGTGCGCCACCAACGCCCAGCCCATAGTAGAGATAATTCTAACGGTGACATTGCTGACAGAAAATGGTCTTCATTGCAAAACTTGAGTTTATTGGACTTAACTTGGATTTTTGTTGTTCAGATCATCATGGCAAAACCAGCTGGTGGGCCCAAACCTCCAAGTGGGAAGAAAGACTGGGATGATGACCAAAATGACTGAAGAACTTTTTGTTGTAGGTGAAGAGTTTGTTTGTAGAGCAGAACTTCCCTGATCTTTTCTTATTCTCCTTAAGTTAAGAAGTATTTGTGTTCATACTCTGCTGAGTAGTAAAATAAACGTGTTACTGTTACACCTGTCTGATCAATTGCTGCTTATGTCAGCCTTTTTAAACACATAAGCTATAAGCAGGGCAAGTCACTTACATGACTCTTCTTTTTGTTTACCTAGCCTGCTTCTGAAAATAAATTTCTATAACCATCATAGCATGCATCTATGTTGTTGGCAGTTGTTTTCTACAAGGAAATCCCCCCCCCCCCAAGGAAAAAAAACCCACTTTGGAAAGCTGGCTTGACAAGACAAGATTGGGCTGGCATATGGAGGCAGCACTTCGCACAGCACAGCTGTGAGATTGCATAGTCAGCTGACCCACAGTATAGCTTGTGTACACTGACACCAGGCTTCACATTGCTCCCAAAACAACTGCAAAGTAATCATACATTTGAAGGCTAGACCTATTGGTGGGTAATCCATAATCCCAGCACTGGAAAAGTGAAATATTAGGGGATATCACTTTATTGATGTGTTGAGAACAGGATGTGAATAATTCAAATCTTTACAAAAATGAAATAAAAATTGAAAAAAACCACCTGTGAATTAAGTATTTTGCCCATAAGTATTTAAATAAATACATGATTTTGTCATTTACTTAAGAACATAATTTAGTTTAACTTTTTATTATTTTTTGTTATAAAAGCCATAGGTGTACTTCCAGAGAAAGTCCTTGTTATTACAGTATTCTCTCATAAAAAAGGAGATAGGCTTGTGAGTTTAGTACTTTAGTTACAGGCACAGCTTGTACATGTGTGTCACTGATGTGAAACCACTGCCCTTTGGTTGATTCCATTTCACAATCTGTTAGGAAATACAAAAGGAAAGATTCAGCCTAGGTAATTATGGCTTTGGCATAATCTGCAAAATGTGTCAAATTATCCAAGATAACTTACCTTGTGGAATGTCGCCATGAAGAACAAAATTAGAGAGATGACTACTTGGAGTTCTTGCCTTGGCGTAGGCAGTGTAATGTCCTGACCTCATAGTACCACTGTGTTCAACAACTCCATATAAGGAATACAGTACTCTTGTACTTTCTTCGGCCACATTCTTTAAAAAAAAAAAAAAAAAAAGGTGTTATTCTTATCCCATTCAGATGCCCTTGGCAAGACACAGTCATAGCTTGTCTTTATCAGAAAGTTGGAACTATTGGTACAAAAACTAGGTCATGGGTCGTGTGATGTAATTATCATTAAATGGTATAGATGCTAAACTCAACTTGCCAGTTAAAGGCCTCAGGAGAATTTAATATCCTTGGTTCTGTCACCAGTGTAAACCTTGTAAAAAAGCTAACATTTAGGTTAAGCTAAAAAGGGAAAAAAATAAAAACACGTGTATTTTACTTTCCCACCCAGGGTGGAGGCTGTTTATTAAGGCCCTGGTGGGTGGGAGGATGGGTGCCACACTACGGCACCCAGGAGTTTGAGGCCAGCCTGGTCTACCGAGTGAGTTCCAGGACCTTAGGTACCATGGGTCTTGACAGTTTTCCTTTGTGCTCTTGTTGAAAGTGTCACTGTTCTAACACAGTCATGTCATACTCTGTGTTCTTTACCTGTACCTTGTTTTACCTGTCAAGTCCTGCATTTCAGGAGAGGTTTGTGCCCTGGTGACACACATGGGAGTTTCAGTGCCATTATATTTTAGCCATAAAGGACTGGATTTTGGACTTGTTAACCAAGAGATCTTTACCAGCCCAATCTCTGTAGGGGTCTATTCCGAATCCCAACTCTCACTTCAACTATTCTGTACCCTTAACCAAAAGTAACCTTGAGTTTCGATTCCCTGCTGTATAGTTAGTCTGAAGTAGCCTGTGAAGCAGCAATGGCAATGCCTAGTAGTGAAAATGACAACTGACTGACTGCACACCAACTCTGAAATCATCAGAATGAGAAGCTATTCAGCACTTGGTATTTACACATCGAGGATTAATGTGCTTACATTAATTAGCATATGCAAGCACAGCTTCTCTGATGCTTGAAATCCTTTTCTGAAAGACACAAATCACAGTGTCTTCTCCTCTACCTTCATCTCCACTCAAATGCTTTTGGGTCTTCTTGGTAGTGTCTGCCAGGCTCAACACAAATGACATCTCATTCTGAATCACCATCTACAATTGATTTCCAATCTGTATCTCAAGTTTTGACTTCTTGGGTATAAGACCTGTATATTGGAAATGCTTCCAAGACATAGTACTTGGGTATCAAACATAGCTGAATTCAATGTATCCAAAGCTGACCTCTATCCTTCCAACCTGTTGCCTGTTGTCTTAAGTTAAGTTAGGGTTCTATTGCTGTGAAGAGACACCATGATAACTCTTATAAAGGAGGGGAACATTTAATTGAGGGGGGTGGCTTACAGTTCAGTCCATTATCATGGCAGGGAGCATGGGAGCTGTGAGAATGGTGGTATACAGGTAGACAGTGCTGGAGAAAGTGTTGAGAATTCTTACATTTTGACTGGAAGGCAACAAAGTAGTCTGTCCTGGGAGTAGCTTGAGCATATATGAGACCTCAAAGCTCGACTCCACAGTGATACTTCCACCAACACCATACCTACTCCAACAAGACCACACCTCCTAGTAGTGCCACTCCACTTGGGGGCCATTTTCTTTCAACCCACCAGGCCCTGTGACCCCTCCCTTTCTACTCCCTTTTGAGAGGGTTTCTCTGTGAAGCCCTGGCTGTTGTAGAACTCACTCCGTAGACCAGGCCAACTTCCAACTCAAGAGATCCACCGGCTTCTGCTGCCTCTGAGAACATGTGCCACTTGCTGCCTGTCCCTACCTTTATTTATGGTCTTCCATGTGTCCAGTCACTCAAACCTAGATCCAGAAATCCTCAGCTCTCCACACTCAACATCCAATTTAAGGACTCTGCTTCCCTAACGCCAAACAAGTCTCTAATTTTACCTCCTAAAACATTTCTTCACCCTCTCTCCCCTGCCTACCTACACTTTATGACTTACTAACTGCCATCGATTCAGTTCCCTCCTAAATCAATGCCTTTTCAGTCCTCAGATCCAGCTTCCACACTAGAGCAAATAACCTAGCTAACACTCAGATGGGACTTGGTCTGAGTGCTTTACCGTTCTTCTGTGGCTTCCAGTTGCATGCCTAATAAGGCTGAATTTCTTGGCATGAAAATCCTCATTCCCATCTTCTTTGGCTTTTGAACCAAAATTTGGCTTTGTTCTGTGAAACTGCTGACCTTTGGCGGGTACCACCCTACTTCATACTGTTACGTTCTTGTACCTGCTTTTTTGTGTATCTGAAAACTTGACTCATCAAACTAAGTTTTACCCCTTTAAGTATCAGCTTAGGAGTGCTCTACTTTATATGGCTTTCTCTGAAACACCCACATGGTGGACTTTGCATACTGTATCAACATTTATATTAAACTGAGATTAGTAATACATCTGTGTGTGTTTGTGTGTGTGTCTGTGTATACATGTGCATGCATGCACGCCCTCAACTATTATGACAATGTCTGCCATAAAAATTGGTCGAAATAATTTTATGTGCATGGTGGTTTGAATGAGAATGGCCCTATAGCCTCATGTGTTTGAATACCTGGTCCCCAGTTGATGGAACTGTTTGGGAGAGTTGCCACTGAGGGCTGGGCTCTGAGGTTTCAAAAGCCCACTTCATTCCCAATTAGTTCTCTCTGCCTCATGGATGTCTCAAGATGTGAGCTTTCACCCATGCCTGCTTGCGGTCAGTCCTAGACTCTAACCTGAAACTGTAAGCCCAAATAAACACTTTCTTTTATATGTTGACTAGTCATAGTGCCTTATCCCAGCAACAGAAAAGTCACTAAGACAATCTGAAATAATCTAAACCTCAAAATGATTTATCACAGATCTTGAAATTATAAAGGTATAATGATCAAAGTCCCACTCTACGCAACAATTAGAAGCAAACACTCTTCTCACTGAGCTACATCCACAGCCCTTCTTCAAAAATGGTATCAGTTTCATACTTATATAAAATACTGGAAGACTATTTTGTGGGTCACGATTTCTTTTTAACAATTTCCTCTAAAAACCATTTTTACCTACCTTACATTTAAGGGTACAAAAAGGAGCCAAATCTAAGATTTCCGGGAACTTTATGTGTTTGTTAACTTTGCGTAGGTTAAAACCAGCCTAAAAAAAGGAGGATTACAGATTGAGTTCTTTTCTGGAAAAGCTGTATAGATTAAGTAACTGTCCCCTCTAATACCCAAAGAACTTCCAACACCCAGCCCTAGTCCTAGTTACCTTTCTAAAGAGACTTCTTCCTCATTGGCTTGTTTCCAGCTAGTGTAGGTTTTTCTTTAAGTACTTCACACTACCAAAACTACTCTGATGAGAGCTCCCTGACTCTGCCTGAGTCACTTCAAATGCCAGATAACTGGTTCAGAGATGCTGAACAATAGCAGACTATTTTCCCGTGAAACACTCTTCAGCTCACTCAATGTTCTAACCATGCTGACACAATTGCTAGTAAGATCCAACCAGTAAGTCAAGCCAATGCTTGACCAGTAAGAGGGAAAAATGCCTATAAGACCCTGGAGGATTTGAAAGTTGTGGTATTATACCAAATCTTCCAGAAAAGATGTGGTCACAAAAATTATGAAAATCCAATAATGTCTTTTTATCACGTCAGTAAAAATAAGATACAATACACAAAACAGAAGAACATTTAAGCTGTAAACCTGTGTTTTTCCAATCTGAAGTTAAGTTTAGGGTAAGATGCTACAAATCTTAATGCATTCTAGAAACCTAGGACAGTTTAAATTTCTCCACTTTGACAAATTATGTATTTTTCTAAATTTCCCACATTTTGAAGTAGAATGAAGAAAAAGCAGAAGCAAATACAGAAAGAGATAAAGTAGGCATTACACATGTAAACAAATTAGGGTTATGAGGGTACCTGCTGAAACCTCTTCAAATGGAGAGTGAGGACAGGAGGAGCAAGCGAGACCAGCATCTGCTTCTTTGCATTGGTGTAAACATGTTTCTTCTCACCTACACAAAGGAGAGATGCTAGGCTAGCACCAAAACACTCAGTTTGCTATAAAATCATCTCTAACTCTAAAACAGGATTAATACACTTCTACAGAGAACATGGTAATATTTGTGCTTTAATTAAACAAGAAATCAAGGCTATTTA